GAAACTATTACTACCGGTTTTATATTAGTTTCTGAATCTTATTGTACTTAGTAGATAGGGAAACAGCAATCGAACCTAAATTTGTGTCTTTGGCAAATGCTTTGTACTAATACTCTACAAATGTATGGGTGGCTTTAAGCAATAGGGTGCAAGTTATACTGAAGTCGATTATTTCAGCGGAACAATTCAATATTATATATCATCCAAATAACCCAATGCTGCTTCGACAAACTGATAACGCGTAAGAAGTCGTTTCATTCATTTTTATAATGGACCAGGTCATTCACAGTTTTTTGATGATACAGTACCTCGTCAGATTCGAAGAGTGCAGCGTTTAAAACTTTAAAATTACACTTTGCTGACATTTTGGCGTTTGATTAAATATTCCAGATCAATGAAATGTCGTCTGCAGCTCATATGCTTCTGTTATTGTCACTGGCACGTCGTGCCTTAGGTAGTTATGGAAATGGCTCTCAAAACACATGTGCTACTTTATTAATAAACGTATTAATAACATAGGAAACAATATCAAATATTATTCATGTATTTCAGTGGAAGTCCCTATTTAGCGACTGCTTCTTTCTCGCATTCAAATGAATGCATTCGGGTTTTGATAATTCTTGCTTTGTGTTTGATTCTCCCGATATTGTAATAAATGCAGTTGTTCACAGTCACGTGCTAACCGGGACTCCAGCCTCAGATCTGATTTAATCTACTCACTCAGAGCTGCTTTAATCGTCGGATCTTCTGGGGGTGGGGGGGTGGGGGGAAGGGGGGTTGGGGGGTTGGGGAGAAATGGCCTTATTTAAATAAAACAAAGCAATGAGAGGTGTGTGTGTGTTGAGTGTCAGCTTCAAAAAGCGAAAGGAGAGTAGTCAATCCACAGAGCGATCTTCCATGTATATATATATATATATATAGTTTAACAATATGCAATTTCCCAAGAAAAACTATAATAAATGCAGTATCTTAGATCAATATTTTCTGGGATATTAAATATATCTACACTATCATTGATTATTGTTGCAACTATATAGGTCAGCCTTCGAAGCTAGCCTTGAAGCACATTCAATCCCTGAAAGCAAAGACTGATTCTGACTGCAGATATATATTTTTTCGAAAATATAATAGCCGTTAAGTGGAAGGATTTTATGATTTGTTTTTTTTTAAAAAATCACAGGAAATATATATATATATATACTGTATATACGCTCAGTTTTAAAAGGTCGATGACGATTCTTTTGTTATGGCTGCGTGTAAGTGATTGCTATAAGCGTGCAACTGAAGGATGTTTCAAATGCATGCTAGAATAATTTTGATATGTACAATAAACAGTCCCAGTTATCCATGTCTATAGCATGGCGGCATTTGATAAGCTGCCACGAAGCAGCCATTTTTAATCGCTTTGAAGTCCTGACTGCGTGAAGTATTGATACAATAAAATGAGCTGCCCAACAATTGAATCGGATTTTTTTATTGCTAAATAATTACTCCGAATAAACACCAAATTGCATTGTGCTCCAGCCTCACAACCAACCCGATACATGAGCACTGGGCGAACAACCTCCACGATTAATTATATTAATACTGTATTTAAATATTGCGTTGGAGCCTAAAATCCACCTCGCTTCTTAAACCCAAAGGGTTATGCTGCAAACTGCAATCGTTTCACGTGTGTTCGTTTGCTCTCGTGCGATACTTATTTAGAAATGATGGTAAAAAAAAATGCAATAAGTATCAGTTAAGTGTAGCAAATTAAGTGGATACTTCATTGTAACGTAACCCTGTTCTTATAATTCAAGGGAAAGGGAGATATCATTTCAGTCTCATTTAGCTGTTGTATTTAACGTACAATTTTCAATTAGTAAGCACATGTATGTAACTTATTTCAGTGTGATTCTTCCACCGTGAAAATAACAGACACACTTCCGCACTTGCAGCTCTTGTCAGTCTTTAAGCTAAATATTCTACATATGTTGGCATCCTTTTGATATTTTGTCTGTACGATCTCCTGCGAAGGCCTCGGTGCGACATTTGTTTTAGCAGATTATATGTGTTACAGGAAAGAAAAAAAACAGATGTGGTTGAAGAATATCTCATCTGTGTATCAAAAAAAATGTGTGACTCACTGGCTTGAAATAAATTATTGCTGGTCACCGATTTAATAAGCACATTTGAGGAGATGCTATAAGGATCAGACATTTGAAGATTAACTAATTGTAATATTGCCATATGACGCTTTATTCTGTCTCCCTGAATAATAGATTTTCTACTGAATCTCTTGTTGAGTTTCCTTGCACTTTGATTCTGAGCATATAGGATAAATGCAACACTTTTATATTAAACTGAATTTACTAGATTGGACAAACGAATCGTATTACTCATCCATTTCGCTTACTCAAAGCTGATTCGTGTATTTTTTTAATAATGGATATTGTTGCAGCAATAAGTAAATCAGTCTAAATATATATATGTATATATATATGTGTGTGTGTGTGTGTACCGGAGTGTGTGCTCTAATGCAACCAACTGTCCTTTGTAAATGTAAATTTATACAAGAAATACAGTAATGTGTCCAGTCACTAAATACGATTTTATGTCATGTTTGTTACAACCGTTTCCAGGTTGCATTTGCTCGCTGTTCAAGTGGATTTGAAACAATTTGTGTTTCTGACATGCTAAAATCCCCATTTCGCAAGTGAATGTATTGTGCGCCATTCGGATGGCGAAAATATGCCAAGTGTTTGTTTAAAAATCGAGCTCGTCAGATTGTATTAGAAGAGAAGAGAACGGGAACCCAAGTATTTAGCAGACCTCGCAATGTTCTTATTTCTTGAATATTTTTTTGCGTGTTGTACGTTATAGTATTAGGACAGTAAATTGCCAGTGACCCTGAACTATAGCTGGGTCTGCTTGCAAAGATTTGCTCCCGAATTCCAGACAAAGGTTTCATACACACAAATACAACCTATTTAAGAACGAGTCAAAATACTCAGCAGATTGAATTCCTCATATAAGGTCTCATAGGGGTTGCAAGTCCCATTTAAATTTAATTTCTATAGAAAGTTTGCTTCTCACAAACGTTCTTTATATGAATATCGTCAAAGTAAATAAAATATCTCTTGCTCTTTCCTGGTTTATATTGAAATATTTACTGAATTCACCCCAATCGAAAGTGGTTTTTTTTATTTGTTAAACTTGAAGCGAAAAAAGGAAACATGTGGGAATTTCTTTTTAAAATCTTCAGAGTGACAGAATTCAGAGAAGGGTGGAAATAAGAGGAAACAATAGATGGCCATTGGAATGGGGGAACTTTGGAAATCTATGTTACTGTTTTCCAATAGAAAAGTGTCAGAATGCGCCAGAGGGCTTAAAGGCTTAACGCTAGCAGTAAGTTCATCATCAGAGCGTGCTATTCTTTCAGGCTTTTTAACCATCCTTTGAGACGATTCAAACCACTCTCTCTCTGGCCTGATCCCAAAAGAAAAAACCAAAGCATCAGAGGTCGAAGTTTAACAGTATTCTCTTGACTTCCAGGTGTTCAACATGCCACATTCAAGCATCAGTATTATTACACTGCACCTAGATTCATATATCGTATGAATTGTATATACTGTATTTGTATAAATCGTATATAATTGCATTGCAACATTGCCTTGATGAAGATGTATGCTGTGCAAAAGCTTTATTTAACTGCCTACGTGAACATACATATGTTTAACTTTGTATGTACTGTACCACTCACTGTAATGGACAGTTGAGCAAAAGTACTGTATATACACTAGCGTTGCATATTGTGCTGGGATAAGAAGTCCACTCATGCAATAATTTCCTATCTGAAGCTTAGTAAAGAAACCACAAACAAAAGGACAGTTTATGTTATTAAGGTGTCCGCCTCCTCTACTCAATAGGAGAATTACCATTTCGCAATAATAGTCTCGCAGTAAACATAGTGGGTGCAAAATTATCTGTACGCGAGGAGTATTAACCAAATCAATCAATGTTGACAAATTAGAAATATTTGAAGGAACCGCGTTAATTTACAACTTTGTTATTAGTTAAAAATCACCAGCATTGTAGTGGCAATTAATAACACTCTGACTGGGACATTCAAAGACAAATTAGCACTCGCTGCACCGGTAGCGATAAGTACAGCTGTCCCTACAATGATGGCGAATGATAGAAAAGACTCTTTTTGGAAGGAGGGGGGGGGGTGAGGGAGAGGACGGCAGACTGGGGGAATACTTCAAGAAAAGGGATAATGTTCGCAGATAAGAGGATAAGAAAAGGAAGATGTAAAAAGGGGGGGGGTGGGGGGTATTGGGGGGGGGGGGGGGGCTTTGGGGGTAAAATCGTAACCACGCGACCTACCGAATGCTGCACACTTCATCTAAAAAGCCTCATTTACTGGTTGTACAACATAACACACCAAACGCCACAGAACGGACGGATAGTCACTTCCAGTAACTTCATCGCAAGCTTAGACGGAAAATAAAAATAAAACCAGAACGACTCACTTACAAATATAACACACATAAATCACAGAACGTAAATGGCCAGTATAACAGTCACTGTTTAATGGAGCCCTGATATTTCCTCTCTGGGTCTGAGACCCTTTAATTTTAAACTTTCTGTCTCTCGCCACTCATCCCTTGTCGCGCATGCACAGCATTTACAGACCCACCCCCCTTTTCCATCCGAATTACTTATAGTTCGGAATAAACTTCTGTTATTATATTGTTTTTTCGTGTGTGTCGCTGTTTTCCTCATTTACAAACATCCTTTCGAATTACCATTTTATTTATTTATTTTTCAGCTCTGACTCTCACTCTCACTCACTCTCACTCTCACTCTCTCTCATCCCATTTTCTACCCACTTGGCTCAAATCACAGCAGGTTCTAACTACTTGAAATTCACCAAAATAATGACCGTTTCAGAACGATAAATCATTCGGCTCTCTGTAAACCTTGAAGGAGCTTTTAGAAAATAGCTTGCTTACTGTGTGTGCAGAGCTCCGTTTCCATCCCGATCGCTTCCACGATGCCTCCTGTGGCAGTCAGCTCCGCATTTTATATTGAAATCTCTCTTTTTTTTTAAAGTTACACACATATATATATTTCTCTCTCTCTCTCTCTCTCTCGGTTGCAACTTTTTCCCACTTTTAATTTTTTTTTGCTGCTGTTGAGCGCACACTTTGGGTTTTTTTTTAGCTAAAGTCGTAGCGTACCGCACAAAAGGACCCACGGAATGAGATTTATGGGTTTCCAAATGAAAAGATTCATTCGACATAAGAGGTTAACACAAAGTTCGTATGACCGTGACTAGCATTGGCAAAAAGCAGCGCCGACTCAGCACAAAGGCAGTTCAAAGGAACCTTTAAAAACACACGCAGACACACACACACACACACAGACAGACAGACAGACACACACACACACAGAGATACACACACAGATACACACACACAGACACACACCACACACACACCATACACGCACCATCCTAAACTGTGATTTTCATATTCCGCCTACAGTTCCAAACCCAGGTTCTTCTTTTGTTAGTCGTTGAAGTTTCCCCCACACCCAACCCCCCCCCCCAGCCCCCCACCCCCACCCCCCCCCCCCGCAATCTGAACTTTGCCACTCTGGTGTCGACCAACCAAGCTCTTTTGCGCGGGGGGAGGCAATAGGAGACCGGGGAGGTAGTTGGGAGTGAGAGAGGGTGCGAGTGAGTGAGTGAGGGAGTGAGAAGAGGGGCAAAATACGGGCATGAAATAAACAAGGAGAAAGAACAAAAAAAAACGTAGAAAAGAAGATGGAGCCATCAATGAATAGAGGGATAGGAGGAAACAAGATAAGAGAAAGAAAAAATGAAGCGCAAGGGGGAGAGTGACTGGGTGCGTCAGCATGTTCAGGTTGCTATTAGGAATAAAACAGAATAATAAGGAAAGCCATGCGAATAAGTCTCATGTTTTGTGATGGGGTGGGGGGGGGGGGGGGGGGCAAGCTTTTAAAATAAGCATACAGCAGATGCATCTGCGTTAGTTGTCAATCTGTAGAGTCGTGCAATGGGAATGCTAATGAGAGAAAATTAACCCGTCCTTTCGTTACATTGGACAGGATCGATGGCTGACCCAGGGGCTAGCTGGACGTCTTATTTATGCTGCATGGCAATGATATAATCAGCCTCATCTTTAGCACTCCAATCCTCACAAACCAACAAACTTTTGTTGAGCAATTCCTTTCGAACATGAGCGCCAGTCGCTGCATCAATTGGAAGCGGGTTGAGTCATATAGGTTGTTTGAAAAGTCCTCTGAAATCCGCTTGTGTGTGTGTGTGTGTGTGTCCCAACACCGAACGTGTATTTAATGATTAATCCAGTGGCGTGTTTCTTTCTCTGAAATGTCATATCTCTGAAACGACTGGAACTTGGTTGCATGACTTGTTCCCTTATATTTGGTGATTGACGAGGATTTTTATTTCATTTGTTCAGCTAAAAGTTACCAGATGATGACGGTCGTTTAGAATTGAAACTGCCTAAAGTTACAATACTGACATGGATTCGTAATGCACCCGAGGTAGTGCACTTGCCTGTATGTTGACACCGGTTCCTGTAAAAAAAACTATTGCTGGTGTTTAACAGCAATCAATCCACAATAGAGTGATCCGCCGCGAGGAATGCGAGGGGAGGGGGTGGGGGGGGGGGGGGGGGGGTGGTGGTGGAGAGCGAGAGAAAAAAACACTGATTTTAATAATAAATATTGTTGTTTAAATTCATGTTTGCGTGAGATGTAGCGAATTGAATCAATTGATAACTCAAAAGATTTGCATTCCTGCTTCGGTGCCTGTATTGCACAGGTATGACTGTGCCTCATTCAGACTCTGACACATCTTGTTGAGCAAAACTTCAATGTTTGTGATTATTTGGACTCAAAGACTTGGAACAGTGAGGTGCCATTATAAAAGTGAGACGAAAAGTTATCTATTTCCGTAGATCTTCGTTGTCTGCCTTTCAGGCTCAAATACCAGCGTCGTTTTCGATTTGCATATTCCTAAACATTTGACAAATTCAGTGGTGAGAACGGTGCTGGAATGTTTGTTTTTCACCTTATCTGTTGTGCCTTGTGAGGTTTGACGTCATGTGTACGACTTTCGAGAAGATCTTGGCATTATATGTATATATATATACATATCACAAGTGGGTAGTGCAGTATATTGTGTTTAATGTTATTATATAGGTGAACAAAACTGAGAAACACAGCTTCTGTATTAAGGTTTTGTTCTTTTATATTTCACCCTCCCCAACCCCACCACTGAATTCCTCCTGTTCTCTGGTAGTTTAACTTTTGGTTGAAACACCAAGTAGATCCTTAAGTGACAATTCTGTGAATAACGGGTAGATGGCACAATTTTCTAACATTTAAGAGAGCACACGCTGAGCAGTAAGTCCATTTAGACGCACTTTCTTTGTGTGCACAGAGATAACTGACAGACAAGAGGAACATAGACATCTCAATGAAGCTTGTAAAACTTTTTTCACAAAGGGATTCACAAATCACATGTTTATGAAGGGAAAAAAGGGGGGAAAGTAAAGATTACAGATAGAGGAAATATGTTAAATTGATTCCCATCCGAAATGTCAAATCTAACTGAAAATAAATAAGCAGAGTATAATCTTGGGTATAGAGGAATATATTGCGTAGAAATAGCTGGCTGTACTAAAGGCAAATCCCTGATGGTAAATCCATCATTAACGTTTGTTTCCTGTAAGGCAGCAGTTACAGTAAATTTATCTCGTTTTTGTAGCGCTTTAATAGACATTTATTAAATGCGTTTTAGAGAGAGCGTGGGGCGCCTGATTACATAAAGTTAGAGATGAAACATTATGGCACATGCTCGTAATAATCTGGATAGCATGCTTACGAAAAATGCAGAGCCGCAACAAGGTTTAAATAAACTCCCAACAAATGGGAATGACACGCAAAATAGCATTTCAGATTTGACACCATCCAGTCTCTGCCCTCCCTTAGATTTCTAATGTCATGGGATCCCATGAAAAAAAATTGATCACACATAGATAGTTTAATTAAGTTCGCCCAGTGCATTTCGCTGTGGCATGTTGCATTTCTCAATAAAATATCCTCCTGGAAACGATCTGTCCAGAAAGCAAAATGTATGTGTCTGCGCGCGTGTGTGTTTTAACCACTAAAATCGGAACCAGTGTGTTGTTGACAAGACAAGTATGTGATCTTCTCATAAAAGGTAAACTTATCTGGACACTGCATCTCTTGAGGAGGGAGAGGGGGCGAAAAAAATATGTTAAATGCCCAAACCAAGCAAAGATTTGAGTCCATTTGGTGTAATTTTGATGTTCGCTGCAAACAAAAATGTGGGGTTTATGGAAAATTGCACTTTATTTCAAACCTAGTAATTTTTTTTCGGCGGCTACTGTTAAAATGCCAGCACTTTGCAAACACTTTGAACCTAACAGGTTTTGCAACTGTGTGTGAAACTTCATGATTACGCGACTCCTTTTATTGATTATCCTTCCAGTGTACAAGTGTAGGGTAAGTAGAAAAAATGCAACATCTTTCCAGTTGACAATTCCTATTTTTAAAACGTCGCTTGAGGAGTCCAGAGTGTTTTTTTTTTGCTGCTCGATGCGAGGCCATACTACGAAGGCGCTTGCTTTGGACTCTTAAACAAACCCTCCACAGCGCTCAAAACTTTTCTGCAGAAGAAAATAAATAAATGTGACATTCGGCTAAGCAAGGGCTCATTAGTTCGCTGTACACTCCTAATACAGGAACATAAGTGCAAATTATAGAGTTCAACCCCAACGCACGCTCTTGTCAAATGAAATCAACCCCATAGAACTATGATACACATTGCTGCAAAATCGCATCGCCAGTTCCTTGAAGATAGCAAGTGTCGTGACCATACTTTTGCGTTGATCTTTGCACGAGGTGTTAGCCCGGTTGGTTAATGTAAAGATAGATATATTTTTTTAAGATAAAACGAGACAAATCTCCTGTCCCTTTGTTTTCGAAAAGGCCACCAGCTTTGAACAGTCTGATTTGTGGACGATACGTTGGCGATGGCCGTAAAAAACACATTTATATTGAAATGACTGCTTTATAGAACATAAATACGATAAACTCTCCACACACTCCCCCCCCCCCCCCCCCCCCCTCCCCTCCAAACAGAACTCGAGTCCTGTTACAACCAACGCTCAATTTTAACGGCTTTAAAATTGCTGAGTAATTAGAATTAGTTGCGTTTCACCATTAATTAGGCAACAACACAGTGGGGAGGCTTTGAAATTCGAGTAAATGGGGAGGGGAGGGGGGTGGGGAGAGGAAGCAAGATTCATCTGAACCCAGTTTAAAGTAAATAAACGTTAGCGAGGACTTATGGCTGTGTGAGTGTATTTTGTGCCTCAACAAATTGTAAATATATTGCCCTTAAAAGTCGTGACTGTTGTTGTGTAACTCTTAAGAGACAAGTTTTGCAAATCAAAACTTTGTGCTAAATTATTGTGTTCACCGCTGCGCCTTGGCACGGGTTGGGTCGAACCAGTGCGAGACTGAACTTAACCCTTGACGGGGTTTGTGCTTCGGCCAGCCCAAAATAAAAAAAAATATGGAACCGGAGTGAGGTTACATACCTAGCAGGTTATACGTGAAGAAGAAAAAAAAAGAGTTATGTAAATCGACTATTAAAGGGACATCCATCTATGCAAATATACGCTGTTCCAGTGAAAGTAATACTGCGCGCTCCATAAAACACGACTGGATTGATGCGAGCGATTTGTTGTTTTGCCTTATGTAAATGTCACACTACAAAAGGGGATCGCGGTGAAAACGCCAGTGCCCCCTTTCCCCCCCTTTCCCCCCCGCCTATCCAACCCCCCCCCCCTTTACCCCCCACTTCTCTCTCCCCCCCCCCCCCCCCAAGATTTGCAAGGATATCTATATTAAAAAAAATCTGCCCGTCTCAGCAGAAAACAACTGCACTTCCAAAGCAATCGGCCCCGCGGTTTGTCTTTCCTCCTCTGGATTTGTTGTGTGTGTGTTTGGCGATTCCAAAATAATACGCACCACCACCAACCCCCCCCCCCACCCCCCACC